ATAAAATCTGAAAATGCGCATTGAAAGTCAAAGGAAATGCATTATATGGCCATATATGTCACCATGCATTATCAAAATATAATATTGCAAGTGCGCGGTTGCTGCAACGTACCAATAAAACGTTGTCACAACGTTTTACCACAACTTTCGGACCAGACCATGGCTTCACAACGTTCAGAACGTTGCTACAACGTAATTAAAACGTAATTTCGCAACTTACCGAAACAGGACGTTGTGACAACGTTGTACTAACGTTTCCTGTTAGCTGGGTTAGAGGTCATTACGTCGTAATGTTAAGCCTATGGGAAAATACTAAATTCGGAAAATACTGGAGATATCCGATTCGTTCTATCACTTTTGTGCTTTGAAACCACAGTACTTAACAGCAGGTCACTTGGTGCTTCTTTGTTTGGTGTACTTATCCATGGGTCAGGTCAAATGAGGTCAACTGAGGTCAAATGACGTTTTTGCCAATAACTTGGCACATAATGACGCTAGAGCTTAAAAAATGGTATCATTGTGTTCCTGGTGATCAGCCGAATCGAATGATATGCGATATGGTGCAATTTGGTTAATTTAAACTTAATTTATTAATTTAAGTTTACTTAAAATTTAAGAAAAACTTTAAGTACACTTAAGCAAGCTAAAAAGTATATCATTCGACGCGCCTTGACGTGCTGAGTTCACTGGTGCTTTTCTTTTTGCTCTATCTTAATTAGATCAAAAGTTATAAGCGAAAAACTTGTGACCTGTTTTTAGCGAAATTTTTACATTTATACCCCCCAAAACCCCCCTAAATATTGACCTAGAGCAACCAAATTTGCACAGGGGCGAGAACTCCAGGGGGCCCACCTACCTACCAAATTTGGTGTTTCTAGGTGCCATAGGAGCCAATCGTGAGGGGGGGTTGCATCGACCCCCCCCCCCTGACAGGCCGTGTTATGAAAAATGCCCTGCCAGGGCGAGGGTTAAGGTCACACCTATGTAGCATACATCCACCAAGTTTCAAGTCTTCATTACGAATACTTTTAGTACAGTGTGTGTTTTACTGACGCTCCACAATGTGCTCCAGGTGAGCGCCACGGCGCTGCAGGGCGTAGGCACACTTGCATCCGGCGGGCAAAGTTGTCGATAACCCGATGGTTGTGCACTTTACAGAGTGCAATGGCCTCTGGAGACAGTGCTCAGGGGGTGTGCTACCCCTGAAACGTTATTCTTATCGGGTTATCAGCAACTTTGCCCGCCGGATGCAGGTGTGCCTACGCCCTGCAGCGCCGGGGCGCTCACCTGGAGCACATTGTGGAGCGTCCGTAAAACACATACTGTACTAAAAGTACTCGTAGTGAAGACTTGAAACTTGGTGGATGTCTGCTACATAGGTGTGACCTAAAGTGGCCGAAGTTTGGTGATGATTTGAATAAAACTTCTGAAGTTATTCGAATTTTGGTGATGACCGCTTTTTTGTGTCACCCTGTACAATGTGCGCTTATCATAGGCGTCTCTCTTTTATGGACACTTGAAGGCGCCTCTCTTTGCCATGCCGGCGCCCCTGTTTCTTATGAATGCACCCCCATGGCATTGATCAATTGCAATTTGCAGGCCTCTATTGCATATGGACGCCCATATATGTAGGCCTCAGAGGCGCCCCTCTTTCGCATTGAGGCGCCCCTATGGGCTTCATAGGCGCCCCTCTATTGCACGTAGGTGCCCTACTGTCTCAGAACCGCTCCCCTTTGGCATGCAGACGCCCATCTTTCGTACGGAGGAGCCGCTGTGGTTCTTAGAGACGGCATGGTGCTCCCAGACGCAGATGGGGCTCTCGGAGTCGACAGTGTGGGACCTTCAGTCGCTGATGGGTGCCCGCCAGATGTGGACCCTCGGAGACGCCGGTATGGGGCCCTCAGAGATGCCGGTATGTGGCCCTTAGAGACACCGGTGTGGAACCCTCAGATACTTCAGTGTGAAGCCCTTACAATTGCTGGTGTGGAGCTACGAATGCGCTGGCTTAAATCCCTCAGAGGCCGGTACATGGACATTAGAGCCCAGTGAGAGTTTGTGTGGTGCCTTCAGTGGCCTTGTGGAGCCGTTAGACATCAACATGGTGCTCTCAGGAGCCGGTGAGTCCTCAGAGTCACCGGTGTGGGGCCTTCAGAGCACCGAGATACTGATGTGGGGCCCTCAGAGGTGTCGGTGTGGGTCCTTCAGATGTACATATAGAGCCTTGAGATATTGCACAGGTGTGGTGGCCCACAGAGGCGCCGGTGTGGGGCCCCCAGAGCCACCGATATACATAGGGCCCTAAAAGACACTAGTATGACCCTCAAAGGCGCCGCTGTGCGGCGCTCATAAACACTGGTGTGGAGCCATCACAGGCGGGTGGAGCCGTTAGAGGCCGGAAAGGGCCCTTAGATGCCTACAAGGAGCCTTCAGAAGCCGGCGTGGCACCCTTATGGGGATAAGCGTGTCTACTTAGGAGCCCTTGAGGTGCTCTCATGAGCTCTGTGGGGCCCTACCGAGCCGAAATATGGCCACGGCCAGTTGCCGCCGCATGGCTCTTCGGACTATCATTCTCAGGGGCCTCATCTGCCTAGTTTGAATAGAAGGGCCTCTCAGACCATCAGTCTCATGGGCCTCCTCTGGCTAGTATAAATAGAAGGGCCTGTTAGACCATCAATCCTAGGGACCTCTTCTGGTTAGTATAAATAGAAGAGCCTCTCAGACCATTGATCTCAGGGGGCCCCTGTGGACAGTATAAATAAAAGGGCCTCTCAGACCATCAGTCCCGAAGGCCTCCCTAGAAAAGTGTAAATGTGGATAGAGGGCCCCCTCAGATTCATTACGAGTGGACCTCTCTGACTATCAGTCTCAGGGGCCTCATTGTGGCCAGTATGCATATAAGAGCCTCTCAGACCATCGGTCTCGGGGGCCTCTTCTGACTAGTGTGGATAGAGGGCCCTCCCAGACCACCGGTTTCAGGGGCCTCCAGTGGCCAGTTATATGAACAGAAGGGCCTCACAGCCATCAGCCTCGGGGGCCTCTTCTGACTGGTGTGAATATGAGAGCCTCTCATACCATCAGTCTCAGGGGCCTCCTCTGCCTAGTGCGAATATAAGGGCTTCCCAGGCCATCAGTCTCAGGGGACTCTTCTGACTGGTGCCGGATTGAGGGACCTCCCAGACCGAAAGTTTTGGGGGTCTCCTGTGGCCAGTATGAATAGAAGGGCCTCTCAGTCCATCAGTATCATGGGCCTCTTCTGCCTGGTGTGATTATAAGGGCCTCTCAGGTCATCAGTCTCAGGGGCCTCCTCTGACTACAGTGTAGATGGATAGGCCTCCCAGACCATCAGTCTCAGGGGCCTCTTCTGACTATTGAGGATAGAGGGGCCTCCTCTGACTAGTGAGGGTAGGGGGCCTCGGCTAGACCGCCAGTGTCAGGGGCCTATTCTGACTAGTGTGGATGGAGGGGCCTCCCAGACCAGTGTGGATATTGGGGCCTCCTCAGATCCACTAGGGCCTCTCAGGCCATCAGTCTCAGGGGCTTCGACTGATAAGTATGAACAGAGGGCCTCCTTGGATCTATCACGGCCCCTTGGAGTCCGTGCGTGGGGATTCGTGGAACTTATTTTTACAGAGTTTGTTTATTCTGGAAGGTGACGACGTCCTCTCAAATCGAGACGAGGGGCCTCGAGTAAAAAGTGGGTGGGCCAAAACACATGGTTGGCCCCCCCACCTCGAAAAGTGGGTGGGCACTTGCCCACCTGGCCCCCCCTGTTCCTACGCCTATGCATGGCACATCGGTCATGAGTGAGCTGTTTACCTCGACGAACTATACATTGCGGTCTGCATTCACACAAGTCGCAGGTGTTCGCAGACCATCAGTCACCTTCAGAGTTGACGTCACAGACCCCCCTCCCCTAGTCATAGACGAACCCATCCATTGTCATCTTTTTTACATATGAATGCGAGTATATGTTTATTGATCGGCCATGTGACCTTTGTAAACCTAACATAGCCAAACGAGCTACAATGCGTGGCGCTCGCTGCTCTCAACTTATCATACACGGATTAGTCAGTATCCTATACAAGATTACTTTACAGATTCTGTTCTGGCACCGCCTTTCACTCTCTCCCAATGCTCTGATTGCTGCCGTGCTGGATAGTCCAGCTGGCCAGGTGGGTCTGGAAGCGCAGCAGCACTTGCGACTGCGTCAGCATGCAGTACGAACTCTATGTATGACTTTCATTTGTCCGCTATCTCGCCTTTTGAACTTCAAAATGGTTGATGCCCGGTCATCGAAGAAATTGTGCGTGGAAGGGAGAATGTTCCACATCGGCTTGTGTACCGGATATAGGGAAACATGCATTTTACATTCGTTTCCTGTGTTTTTGTGTTTGTTGAAGTGTTGCGGTGATGTGTATTGTGATGTACCGATTTCGATACGAAATAAACCGTTATTATTATCTACTAATAATTATTTACATACGATGCATTTTTATATGATACTGGAGTCGACACCAGGGCAGCGGTCTTTCACTTTGATAATTCTTCCATACCTATGCAGTACGTTCAGTACGACTACCGTGCGGTTATGTGCGGACACCGTCTGTCAAAAAAAGTTCCGTTCGCGGTGTCGTGTCTATGCGTTTCGGCAACGTTTACTGTATTGCAGTAAAGCCCACCAAATATTTATAATACAGGTTTACAGGTACGCGATAACCTGTATTCACCACCATTATAGGGGTACTGTACTTCATAGTTCATACTCGTAGACCTGTAGGCACACCAAAATAACTTGGTCTTTGTGAATAAGAGCAGCTGCCTTGCATTGGCGTCATTGATATGGTGAAAGTATGTTGGTAAGCATATACCTAGGTGCCATGACAAACGGCGAACGACCGATTAAGTTACCAAAATCATTTTTCTGCCGGTGTCATGTGGCAGCACATCAGCAGACGTAAATGCTGCTACTCATGCTAGTGCACGCAGCAATGTATACTTACCTTGGCTGGGTGTTCAGTGTCCTCGCTGGTATTGAAGCAGACGTGATAGTTCAGCCTGGTCGGCGACATTCCCCCAACGCTGAGATCGGTTCTGTAAAAATAAACATAAAAAGTTAGCATTTATTCTACAAAGTATTTGACTTCATTATACCAAGTGCAAAATGCTAACCAGCGCTCCACTGAGCCCTCACTGTGGAGGGCGTTTACCGCCCCCCCCCCAGATTTTCTCCGAAACTAAGCGCATCGTAGCGAGATGCACGAGGTAGCGTTAGAAAGATGTTACAAAGAAATATCTGAAGCACCCTGAAATGTGAATTTCGAGGTCACAAGCCAGGTTAAAGCCTGGTGAAATGTAAATATAGTGCATATTCACATTCAGGTCTTTTTATTTTTATTCGAAAAAAAAACTCGCGTGAAAAATGGCTGGTCGCGACGAAGCTTCCAGTACCCCGAAGTTGATAAACTTAACCCTCGCCCTGGCAGGGCATTTTTCATAACACGGCCTGGCAGGGGGGTGTGGCAGGGGGGTGGGGGTCGATGCGACCCCCCCCCCCCCCCACGCGATTGGCTCCTATGGCACCTAGAAACACCAAATTTGGTAGATAGGTGGGCCCCCAATAGTTCTCGCCCCTGTGCAAATTTGGTTGCTCTAGGTCAATATTTAGGGGGGTTTTGGGGGGTATAAATGTAAAAATTTCGCTAAAAACAGGTCAAAAGTTTTTCGCTTATAACTTTTGATCTAATTAAGATAGAGCAAACAGAAAAGCACCAGTAAACTCAGCACGTCAAGGCGCGTCGAATGATATACTTTTTAGCTTGCTTAAGTGTACTTAAAGTTTTTCTTAAATTTTAAGTAAACTTAAATTAATAGATTAAGTTCAAGTTAACCAAATTGCATCATATTGCATATCATTCGATTCGGCTGATCACCAGGAACACAATGATACCATTTTTTAAGCTCTAGCGTCATTATGTGCCAAATTATTGGCAAAAACGTCATTTGACCTCAGTTGACCTCATTTGACCTGACCCATGGATAAGTACACCAAACAAAGAAGCATCAAGTGACCTGCTGTTAAGTACTGTGGTTTCAAAGCACAAAAGTGATAGAACGAATCGGATATCTCCAGTATTTTCCGAATTTAGTATTTTCCCATAGGCTTAACATTACGACGTAATGACCTCTAACTGACCTCAGGTTAGTGACCTAAAAAAAACGAACTATATGTTATACAACTCGGTGAACTTAGCACATCCTGAAACATTGAAGGAAATCAGTCCAAAACTGTGAGTTGGACAGGTGCAAAAAGAAAATTGAAATTTGACCATGACCTTGTACCGGTTTTTCTGACCTGGTGACCTGACCCAAGGTCACCCGGACCTGAAATTTTCAGGTCTTATGTAAAAAGGTTGCCCCATAGGCTGTGCCAAATTTGGCGGCGCTGCGCGCCGCCGTTTTTACGCTATCTTCGAAAAACCTTAGGGGGGGGGTCGCATCGACCCCCCTGCCAGGGCGAGGGTTAACACCTACTCTGAACGCATGACCTAAATTACACATGACCTAAATGACCCTAAATGATCCTTGCCTTTCACCCGTTTCTCGATACCATGTCAGGCCGGAATAACGATTCGGCATAGATTGGATAGCCGGTACCTACTACTGTTAACGCCAGACCCCTTGAGACCCTAATTTTTCGCGATTTCTTTTAAATGCGTGAAGGAATTTCAACCAAGCTCAGGACATGGCCGTTTCAAGACAGGCCGAAACTTTTACAATTTAGATATTTTATCGCCATTTCAATATTTCAGGCACTTGTCATTGACTCGTAATGTTAACTGTTTTTCCATCCTGGATAGAGGCTTTCTACGTCATATGACATTAGGCTCCGCCCACGACTGCGGCATTGACCCGTGCCCATCAGCGACCTCTGTACAAAGCCCCCTGGACGAGTCCGCCTTCAAGTGGTGGGGGGTGTGGTCGCCTGCGACCGCCGTCTGCGGTGGACAGCCGCGGACGGAACGCCAAACGGACTCAACTTGCCTCTCTTCCTCTGCGCGCGGCCACTGCCTGGTGGCACGTACTCCATCTACCGACTCTTCCTCGCCGAGGGTCGTCCGTCGCCTGGGCAGCGCACAATGCCCCCGCGGGCCTGGGAGCCGCGCTCGCAGCGCGGCCCCGGCCCGCTGAGTGATTAGCGCGCCGGCCGCGCCCCCCTCCGTCGCCGGAGGAGGGAGCACCGACGGGGTGGGGACTGGCAGTAGGCGCCGCCTCAAGAACCGCCGCTACCGCAAGAATCGGGCCAGGAGAAGCCACGTGACGCTTGTCTCATGGAATGCCGAAGGTTTGCGCACCAAGGTGCAAGAACTGGGAGGCTGGCTTTCCGCGATTAAAGCAGATGTAGCGGCCATTCAAGAGGCTCAGCTGCCGAAGGCGGTGCCGAGCATACCAGGGTTCCAGCCCCCCGTCGTAGTGCGCAGGGCGCGCGGAAGACAGACCGGCGCGGTGTCGGCGAAGGGAGGAGACGTCGCAGTGTATGTCCGAGCTGGACTACACTTCTCACCTCTCTCCGACCGGTACCTGGCGGCAGCGGACGACACCACGGAGCTCTGTGGAGTCCGTCTGCTAGGACCGCAGACACTGGATGTGCTCAACATCTACAGACCGCCCATCCGGGCGACGGGTGACGACCGAGAGGACCGCTTCGACCCGCGATGCCTCCCCAACAACAACAAGACCATCATCATCGGCGACATCAACGGCCATCACCCCAGCTGGGACAGGGCCTGCGAAGCGGCTGACGCGGTGGGGGAGAGGATGGCTGACTGGATGGAAGCGGAGGGATGGGTCCCGCTCAACAGCGGAGAACCCACCTTCGCGAGCTACCGATCAGGTGCTCAGACGGCCCCAGACCTCGCCGCGTGCAGTGCCCCCCTGGCCCGCAGGGCAGTGTGGTCTCTCGGCCCTGACCTTGGGAGCGACCACCTTCCCATGGTGGTGGAGGTGAGGTCCGAGACGGCGCCCCCCAGGAGGGTCCGCAAGACCAAGTGGGCGTTCCACAAGGCGGAGTGGCAGGCGTTCGCGGCCGACTGCGAGCAGTCGCTGGCCGAACTGGAGCCGGACCTGACGACTCAGGTATTGGCGGACCGGTTCGAGTCGGCGCTGCAACGGGCTGCAGTGCGCCACATCCCGCGAGGCGCCAGGGCGGATCCTCGCCCGTGGGCCTTGGACCCCGACCTCCAGGAGGCGATCATAGAACGGCACGCGGCGCGCGCGGCCCTGCGCGATGGTGACACACCGTCCCGGGAGCGCTGGATCGCGGCCAAGCGGCGCGCGGCCGAACTGGAGAAGAAGGCCACCATCGCACACTTCAAGGACTTCGTCTCCACCACCTTGAACAGGCCAGCCAACGTCGGCAGGGTCCACAAGACGCTGAAGAAGTGGGAGCGATTCAGATTCAGATTCAGATTCAGATATGTATTCATCGAGGGTCCACAGCAAAAAGTGGCTTTTCACCTGACACGTAAAGCAGATAAAACCGATAAAACATAGGGTAAGTAGACATGGTATGGCATCATCATAGCACACACAAATCACGCACACGACATTCACACCAATACCACCTCAGTGACGTCTGGTAAGAATCGCGTTTTTTGCCTCTCGACGGAACGATGGCAAATACGGATCCAAGTTCATGTCGTTGAACATCGAGACCCCCCTGATACACAGTCGGCGCCTCCCCGTCTCGGTTCGGGGTCGTGGTTGTGTCAATCTGCCGGCGTGCCTTGTGTTGTGGTCATGTAGGTCGCGGGCTAATGGACCGATGGTTTGACTGATATATTCAGGAGTTCTCGTGGTGATAGCTCGCTGGACTGCGCAGATAGTGTGGTACTCGGCTAACTCATCAGCTCGCAGCCAGCCGAACCGCTCGATGACATCGGAGATGTGGTCACTGCGTCTGCGACCGCTGACGACCCGCGCACAAAAGTTGATGATTTTCTGTACGCGAGTCATCTGTGTCACACCACACGTCCCGTACACACTCATGCAGTACCGCACAATGGAAAGAACCAGGGCCTGCACTACAAACCTCAGTGTGCTGGATGGCATCACGTGACGTGCGTGGGCGAGGGCGATGAGTATACCGGTGCATTTTGAAGTCATGGCGTCAATGTGTGCCTGGTAACTCAGATGACGGTCGAGTTGAATTCCTAAGTTTTTCACAGTCCCGGCATCGCCCACCACAGAGCCGCAGAAGTTAACGGTGACAGTTGGGAGGCCCCTTAACATAGCTGGGGTGCCTAAAACTAACATCTGCGTTTTGGCAGTGTTTACTTTCATTCCGTTGTGACAAAACCACTGGTAAGCGTTATCGAGGGCAGTCTCCATGAGTGAGATGATAGTAGCCAGATCCCGTTTCTTACCGGTGACCAAAATTTGCGTGTCATCTGCAAATTGAACAATGGTGACGCCATCGGGCAAATGTAGGCTCAGGTCATTGGCGAACAGCATGAATAACACACAACTAAGGCTCCCACCTTGAAAAACTCCGATTTTGTTTTCTCTGGGTCGGGACGTTATGCTGGAACCGTCAGCACCTCGTACGGTAACCTGATGCACGTGACCCGTCAAATAGTTGTTAAACCATTCCGTGTCTATCCCGTACAGGCTAAGTTTATCTAGGAGTTTTTGGTGAGGCACGACATCAAAACATTTTGAAAGATCTAGAAGAACCAAAATGGAAATTTCGGCATTGTCCATGGCATGTAGGATGCGGTCAGTGATGACGCTGAGAGCTGTCTCGGTTGAGTGTAGTTTTCTGTACCCATGCTGTGCTGCAGTAAGTAAGTCATGGGCGTGCAAATACTCAGTCAACTGAGCTTGTACGATACGCTCGACTACTTTCATTATGCCTGGTAAAATGGAAATAGGGCGCGTATCGGCTGGGCCGTTGGCTGTTTTACCTTTCGGTATCGGCGTAACTATCGCATGCTTCCATCCTGGTGGAACTAAGCCAGTGAGTAGGCTGGAGTTAACGATATCGAGTAGAGCATGGCAGACACCAGGAAAATAAGTCTGCAGCATGGAAACGC